GTTAATTCAAGCCCACGTGGACCAAACATAAACTTTTCTAAAGTTGCCTTTAAAACTTAAAAAATCCATCGGTAAAACGTCCCAGAACGGTGAGTTCTATGACAAAAAAGCAGTGGCGCTAACCAACCCTAGGTCAATACCAAGAAATCTTTCGTTTCTCTCTGTCCTATTTTGAATTTTGAATTTCAGAACTGCGAATTCGAGTGATTCAGATAATTTAATATCTTAGTAGCTTTTATAAAATCATATAAATAATCTAAGATGAATATTTAATGAAAATAAAGTAGAAGAAGTAAACAGCACTTGTTTAGTCTTCATCTACTCAAGCGATGGTAGGAGTCATCAGTTTCTATTGCACCCTTGAGGTATACTTGCGAATCATAAAATACAGTGCGAACGAATTCTTTGAAACGGATTTTGATCCTTTTCAGCGTAGATGTCTTCATTATTCCAATCCTCTTCTTTTCAGCAGCGTATTCTTGACTTGGAATATAAATTTTCACAGATGAAAAGGGACAGCGAAAAGAAAAAAGAAAAGAAGATCTGCATGACGAGTCCGCTACCAAGACGCCCGATGCGTAAGTTGACTATGAATGAAATATTTACCTTAAGCGTCGTTTTTCGAGTTTATATTTGCCTTGTTTTTATTTTAACTACATTTAGAACATTGTTTTGCGTGTATTTTCATACATACGCTTAATTTTGAATGTCAGCTACTTAACCGAATTGAGTTAACAATGCTTTTTACGTTTAGTACGCTCACGAGTCGGCTTCCAACTCTCCATGCCTTTGTACTCGTCAGATCACCGTTTCGAGGCATATTCATGACAGTTATTTTAATGATGTTTCTATATTTCTCTTCTTGCTACATTATGCCAACGCTGTTTATGTATCGAATGCAGCAGCTGATTTTCGCTGTCTTAAACCATGTAACCTTTGCTTGATTGAGGTTGTACCGTCGAAATGCGAAGTTAGAGTGCAAAATGACAGAACCTGAGAGGCAGGCTGTAGGGCACGTAATCGAATTAACGCTCCCAAGTTGACCAAACTGTTCTACTTGTTAAGCTTTGCAGATATGGTCGTTGGTCTTTGCCCGAAGTAACGGTTTATCGACGAATTAGTGCCGCCGTTCTAACGCCAGTAGTGTCCATGGATAGATATATTGGTAAAATCTCTTAAAATCTAAGTCTCATCTGTGATTTCAAGGTTAGATGGTGTTTATACCTGAGAAACTTGAATTACGTATACGCACCTTTATGCGTCTCCACCGGTACTCGTGGGACTTCTGACTGTTGTAGAAAACGAGGTATTTTCTATTTTATATAGTAGTAAACATTGAGTTGCGTTAGCTGTGTGTCATCCGAAAGGACAAATTATCATTGAAACTGCCTTAACTGCGTTAGCTTAGCATTCTCAAGGCAGAGACATCATGCTTTATGACTGTGTAGCGTTGGCTTTAATTATTACCTTAAGTCTACGGTAGTTCAAGCTTTGATTTCTGCCTCTTACTAATTCATATTTTTCATTCTTTCTTCGCCTCAGAATGGCCGGACTTAACGGGAAGAATACAGATATAGTTGAAATGTCGTTTAGGTTTTGGCACTGATGCTCTACTTCATCTTTTCTCAACTTAACATTCCTGTGCTTCAGCACTCTTCTTGTTTCTGTCCCTGAATTATCAGTATGCCGATTTCTTTGCATTCCAGATATTTGAGAATTTGGCCATTCCTCACCTGCTAATTTGTTAGCAGATGCTATAGCTACAAATTACAGTGCTTGACAACTCAAAACTTAGATCGCTCAATAATCCGAAAAAACACGTCTTTCTGTAATTATACACCACTGTTCATTTTCAAATTGTTCTGTTTCTCCACTGTTGTCTGTTGTTCTTGTGTTTATACGATCAGATGTTATTCCATATGGCTACCAAGGCACTAACACAATGTTCATAATTCCGTCTTTGATGAGTAAGCTAGAGGTTAGTCCCCGCTTACTGGTGCATATGAAGGATTTGTGATATGGCTAGCTTATACATTTCAAAGTGGCAGGGAGTGTAAATGATTGGTTTTTGGCATGAAGAAGAGGAAACCTAGAATAAAGATTTGCTAACGTAATGAAGAGAAAAATAAGGGCATGCTCTAAACAGGTCAGTTAAGCAGCGGGATGCGAGCCACTCGCGAAT